TATAAAAACACCCACAGTAATGAAAGAGGAGAATTTTAGTAGGCTCTCTAGATTTGCCATAGCTTTCCTCCCCAGGAGCAAGCCTCTTTTAATTTCTTGGCTGCAATCCCCCTCTACAGGGATCTTGGAGCCCAGGAAAATAAAATCTGTCCCTACCTCTATTTCTTCCCGATCTATTTGCCAGGAATTGAGAGGGCAGGATGCCATGATCTTAGTTTACTTAATGTTGAGTTGCAAGACAATGTAAGATAAATATATAATTGGTTATGAGGATACATTTAAAACTTTTTGTAGAATAATATAGTCTAGCACCTAAAGTAAATAAATATGACCGTTTTTTTGATCATCAGCTCAAAAGCATGTAGTTACCATAAAATGCAGTGGATAGCTAGGCACTTTAACTGAGTGGCATCAGATGCATGAATCATATTTAAGCACTTTAATATGTACATATTGATTTGGAAGTATTAGAATTATTACTCTGCCTTTGAAGTAGAATGATAACAAAGGAGGTTTTGTTTTGCTATGTGACATAGCATTCAAAGTTTGCAGAAGCCATGGAGAATAAAAATATTGACAGATTATACTTTAATATGTTGCAAGTTACATTCTGGAAATGCATATATTTGTGTTTCTGTGCAACTCTTTCCATGTCCAGAAATTTTTCACAAGGAGCTGTTGTAATATGTCTTCCTGCTTATTTGCTTTCTGGGTGAATTAATGAATCTCTCTCTCAACCTATGTTTTTCAATTATGAAATGAAATAGCACTCACTGTTTTACTGTTTGATTAGCTGCTTGTTTGTATAGTCCAGTCCTAATTTTGTTGAATCCAATGGAATAATTCCTCAGCAAACAAATGAGTTAAAAATAGGTAATAAGTTTCAGTAATTTTTTGTTATTAATTTAACTTCTCAAAATACAGAAATACGAAAGAACAAATACTGAATAATTATTATACGTCCAAAGCAAAAAGTCCCAAAATATGTGGTGTTAATTAAATATCCTAAACATAAAATACCCTTTCTAATTAACAGAAAAAAAGATTATACAATAATTAATACCTTTACAGATATAATTCATTTGTTGAGCTTATTAAATCTGGATTGTGCAGCAATGCTTTATGCCAGAGGTGTCAAACTCAATTTCATTGAGAGCCACATCAGGCTTGTGTTTGACCTCAAGGGGCCGGGATGGACATGGCCAGGGTGAGTACAGCCAGCTCAGTGTCACTCGTGTCAGGGCGCCTGTGGCGTCCCAAGTGTTCTGCCAGCGAAAACGGGTTCCTGAGCTCCATTTCCAGCTGCGACGGCCTCCTGCAACTCTCTGCCAGTGAAAATGGAGCTCAGGAGGGTGACCCTGAGGGAAAGGATATACCCTCAAGAGGCCTTAAGAGCTCTCAGGGAGAGTGCTAACAACCAGATGACTGCAAAGAAATATTATCCTTCCATTACCCTGAATATCCAGTCTCTATTGTCAGTAGATATCCCTGCCCTTGCCATCATTACACTAGAATAGAATAGAATAGAATAGAATTCTTTATTAGCCAAGTGTGATTGGACATACAAGGAATTTGA